TCCAACCAATGGATAGATGGAAATATACTTCTATCACGCGAACATCACGGCTCATTTATGCATTTCGTTTTATCATGAATGTTTATTTTCTCAATAATTTTAATCTCACTGGACTTGCTATTTTACCAATAATACACCAATATTCCATTGTACCTAGGTTCTGTCCTACTTGCATGATTTTCTGAGAGTATATTTCTATAACTGGCCTGATGATGAAGAAAATGAAAAGTACTGTTTGCTTTACGCTTGTATTCTTCTCCAATTTGATAAAAAATGGGAATATTTGTACATTTCCTTCGTTTATATGGTAATGCATGCCGCATATGTGTGACACATCTGTTGCATTCCAACGGAACAGATCGGTGCGGAATCTGCAAAACGATCCAGGCAATTAATGCACAAGTATGTCGTCCCCCGTTATGCGATTCAATGTTCTCTTTGAAGTGGCAGTTTTTATTTTCTTGTGTTTCCATTGGTTCTGGAAAACTAGAATGTCACTGAGACGGTCAACGATTTACGGAGGAAATGTTGCGACGACGTGGTGCAATTTGACATTCTCAGATCTAACGCCAAGCAACAAAATTATGAAGTCAAATCGAGGGAATCTACATTTCTTTCTACATTTGCTAAAAGCGGTATAATTAAGGCAACACTAATAACCGAGACGTTAGGAATTAAATTTTATCGTTCGTAGCGAAGTGTTTACAGAGTTAACACAAATAAATTTATCAATAAAGAGGAAAATAGAGAAACGACGGAATATCTGGCCAACTGAAAAATGAGTTAATGATGTGTTTATTTGGATTTAACTATTCGAGGTCACCAAAAGTAGTGGGGTCGCAACTTATAGCTGCATTAAGGGACTAGCGCTATATACACACAACCAGCCAATCGTAAGGAAACTATACAAATGCAAATAAAAATAGGCCAGATCTAGCTTTACTAGCAAGGCATGCAAGCTCTCTAGCTGACGCGCACTCAAAGAGAGGCTAGATAGCCAGGCAGTAGGAAGAAAGATTGTTTCAGGAGCGAAACTATGCAGGTTTCGCATCGCTTTTCGGATATGAGTGTATGTAAACAAAAGTGGTCAACACGCAACAAAGAAGCCGCCTAATTTTGCCGAGTGAAAATGAAACTGTTATTTGGTAGTAAGCCACACATCATACAGGGAAACCTCCAGATGGCCAAAAGTGTAATTACGTTGAAACAATCCATCGCTATGGTATAGTTCAGTTAAATGACATCATGTCTTGTGTTCTCGTTATTTCCTTTAGTACAGCTGTCGAGTGTAATATAGAGATTCGTGGTGTGCTATGAATTTTGACTAAGACCATTCTGCTGTCGTGTCATCATACTGTCGGTTTCCAGTTGGTCCATCCATTCGGCTGCGATAATCGCTTCCAAGTAATTGGTGAGTACAAGTAGAACAATGAACAATGATTTATAACGGGTTAAAAAGCAGGTGCTGACATGTCCCGTAGGGTGTTTAGCGTGACAAAAAATGATAGCAACGGGATAATGGAGTCGTCAGTTGGGGGCGATTACAGATTTAACTGCACTGCCGTATAAAGGTAGTTTGAAATGAGAATGTACGCACACAAAGCAATAAGAAGAGTGGTTATTGATCACATAATAGGTGAGAAGAAATAAAAAAGATAGCAAGGACAACGTTTATTCGTGCGCAACTATCTTGGATCGACAGGATACAGAAATCCAGTTTATATAGTAGTAGCGTTTACCAAATTTCGTGCAAGGAGTTTGGAGTGAAACATTCGCGAGTAGGGTTAAGGCACTATCCCCTGTCTGTTGTGAATTAGTGCCAGCATCTGGTGGCCATGGGTTATAGCACGTAGTGTAAATGTGAAGCGTTACACGGCGGTAATTAGCAGATTCGGATGAACTTCTCACATTGTACGTAGGGGTGATGGTACCCCGATTCCAATGTCTCCAATCTATATTCCCCCCTTAACAACGCTGAAGTAATCCAGCAACCGGTTCGGAATAGACCAAATTTGTGACTCTCTCGATAGGGAGGAGCTAAACACCGCAGTTCCGGACATCTTCCAGTGCTCATTGGACGACATCTTCGATGGCGAAATTGAAGAGGAAAGATGAAATAGGGCAACCCTGGCGAACACCGCTGGTCACAGTAAACGAAAAAGAGAGAGCGTGCCGCAAGCCCTTGCATTGTTCTACGTGTGGTTCTAAAGTTCTTTCATTAGGGTTACCAAATTGTTGAAAACACGTTTCTTCAGTAAGCAACTACTGTTGCAAGATATTACCATTGTGCTTCGGTCATCATCAGCACCGGAGAAAATCATTGTCACAATTTTATGAATCTTTCATTGGTTCACAACTATGAATCATTTTCTAATAACTAACCTGACGAAGCTGTACGCTATGGGACGCGTCCCCAGGTTTCAGAGTGGGGAATGTCTTCCTTGTGGTTGTAACTGCGAATAAGGCTCGTTTGCCTTCCAGGCGAAATGACCAACCAGTGGCGGACACAGCGGCAGCGTATCAGACCGTGGGAAGTTCTGGGCTGGTCACCCGGTTCTCCATAAATACCACAAGAGCTCCTACGGCGCTGTGTCAAAGCCAGTGTGACCGGCTATAGGGTCAACAGTCACTCACTTCTGTAACTAGAGCTAAGTATTTAACGGAGAGCGGATGAACAACTTTCCTTGCCACCGGCTTCTCTGTGGACTGCTACTGAACACAAAGAAGGTGTATGAGCTCACCGGATGTCAAAGGTTTCCGTTAATTGTCCCGCTGCCTTGCGGGTTAGATCTTAAGACCCAAGCCTTGGTGTGAGGTTCACTTAAGTCAACCCTTTTCCTCGGCCTTGGCAACCAGTAAGATCTTTGCCCGCACAACACATTAAACTTGTAAACCATTCCAAACCCTTCCTCTTTCTACATATTTCCCCCGTTATTTTTGTTCTTGTTAACTACGTGTTATGGCACTGCCAACTGTATATCGGTCAGGTACTGAATAATAATAATAATAATAATAATAATAATAATAATGCTATAATTAATCTCCCCATCTTCTCCCCTGTTCCATCTTCCCGGCTGAGCGACATACTGATAGTCTCAAAATTCAGCCACGTTTCGGGGATCTTTTTGATATTTTACTGATCTGAAGTTTGACGATGATGGAGTTCCACTGACAATACGGTGTGGGTTAGTGTGCAGTCAGACGCGTTTCTCGGTAACCAATGTGTTGAATCAGGGCTGGAGATTGTGAAGATAATTGAGAGGAAGGCCTTTCGCGGTTTATTGAATACTGGATGGTCCGGCTGCACTTGGCTTCCCTGACCCTGCTTTTGACACATTTTTCGACCTATCCCATCGGCTGTTACGGTTTGCATTAGGTAAGTTCCTTTGCAGTACCACCCGTGGGGAATTCCCTGCATTGGCTGTCTCATGTGAATCGTTATCCATTCGTGGCCGCGTCCCTGATATATTTAAGTGAACTTCTGTAGACATTTTATTGTGCGTTTTCATAGTTTTTTTCAAGATAACAGCTTCCTCAGTTTGAGACCGGCGTCTTTGTGGGTGAGTGCAGCTGGAATTTCTGTCAATTTTTGTTAATTTTGTAAAATTTTGTCAACGATGTTGTCGAGAGAGACGACTTCGCGGATTCGGCAACCTTGTTCTCGTCCAGCTGTCTCCTATTTCTGGTAGGAGGAACTTTGAAGATTGGGAATTCCGCAAACAATGATCCTCCGGTTGTCGTAGGGTTAACGAGTTGCTTCTCGCTTGCCAGCTTATTAAAAAATTCTGCCCAAAATATGTCTTGAAATACATGCGCCTCACGTGCGTAGTTACGGAGCCGATTCGACGAAACTCGAACTGCCTACGTGTCGCCAACAGAAGCCGGCGTCACCTGAAAGAGCAGGGATTTGTGGTAAAGCACCTAGCCAATATGTCTAGTGTACCACTAATGGAATTCCGCTGTTTACATTCATCCATCAGCTTTCCCTTTAGTGTACTGGACTGCGATTGTGACATATTAGTACACAAGCCATTTAAGGTCATGTGGTTCCCTGTGGTTTCTTCAGCCGACTGTCGGATTGAGGATGCAAGTTTTACTATTTGTAACTGTTTTATACGATTTAGAAGCTGCGGCAATGCGATTCGTCTTTACGCTGCTACAGATTTTCTCCCCGGTGTCTACATAGAGGCAACTGATGCCTACGATGTCTGGCTTTTCTCGATGGTGGTCTGGCACCGACTCCGGACACTATTATCACTGAAAGATAGGTAGTACTAACCTAACCGGGTTCTTTTTCGTTAGACGCTCCTCATGAGCTGCGTATGAATGTTGTTGTGCTGAGTGTGGCCTTAGTTGAAATGGTGAACATGGGTGAAACCGATTACCGTATCCGAAATCGTACCGACAATCCGCTGACCCTGGTCACAGTGTGGTGCGCGTCATCTCGAATATCTCTAGTGATGTTACGAGAAGAGCACACTGGAATGACACAGGTGGAAATCACATGACGGAATAGACCACGTTTGCTCTCCTGCGTGTTCAGTCCGTTAGTCTTAACTAGGTATTGATGGATGCAGCCGCGTTCTAAAAACATCGGGAACTACGGAGCGTCACATTTATTTGAGAGAAACATAATGTCCAGAATTCCAGTGGATAGTTGTCTTTTCCTTTACGTAGGTAATTGTGCCAGCTCTCGCCCTCAGTTCAACCCAGAAAACAGTTAAAACTGGCCACCTTGGCCAATCGGAAAGTTTTGAATAACGCAAGGGCAACCACCGCTAGCACAGACGTCAATCACATGTCTTCATAAACAACTTGTGTAGATCTAGACATGTCTACGCGTGGCCGTAGAGTGCGGTACAAAAAGTAAACGCATTGTGTACGTTTATAATCGCCTCACTAGTCGGATTAATTTGATAGGTGCAGATGCATATGAAACCCTATTGTGTCCAACTACAACGCATACAACTTCGGTCTAGCTTCACACTTGTGGTTCCGACATGCTGCAACGCTTGGCGAAATCTTCAGTGGCTCGTGCGTATGGCTCAGTTGTCGGGAGACTTTGCGGCGGAAAAGCTTCCATCAATTCTTCCGGTTGTCCCCCCGTTTTAGGTATTAAACGTGAGACAATAAACCCGTGGGAGCAACGGACCCCATTGATCCCGAATCATGTGGAACGCTTGGTGAAAGAGGGAATTCGTGTCCTGATTCAGCCCTCGAACAGAAGATGCTTTTGTGCCGACGAGTTTGAAGCAGTCGGAGCTCACATCTCGGAAGACTTGAGTCCGGCTTCCTTGATTTTAGGCGTAAAACGGCCGACAGACCTTGGCCCGAAGGACATCCTTCCGAACAAAACGTATGCGTTTTTTACACATACCATTAAGGCCCAACCGGAGAACATGCCTCTATTGGACGCTCTACTGGAACGAGTAAGCTCATGCCCGTTCACACACAGAATGCAATTAACAAAGATGGCCTCTTAAAAGTAGGTATAGTTTGTCGCTAAATTACGTTGAATGAATGATGTGCCCCTAATTTTTTGACGAACTTAGTGGGGCAAAATGGGTACTGAGATAGAGACTGCGGAGATTCCAGTTAGGCTGAATAAACTTAACCTAACTCCATTCTGCTTTAGAACTGATGCTTCTTCACTAACTAACTGTCATCTAAATACTTGTCAGATATTGTGGTTTTTAAAGGGAACACTTCACCGCTGCATTCAGTCAGACAGGCAACGCACGTCTGGAAAAGCCATAGGTGATCTATTCGTCTGTTTGGGACTTATTACTATTGGTTGGCGTCATCGATTCATCACTTTCGAACTAGTGGTTAGGACCAATGGAACTGCTAGAATAACGTTCCAAGCAACAGTGAGGGTTGTTCAACTGAGAACGATCCGTCTGGGGCCATGATGAGGCTGAATAGAATGCTGTGAAGCCTTCCGACACGTACCTTCTCCACGTTTCTGTGCGTTCTGTGTACCGAATGTAGCAGCAACGCATCGTTACATGATCGGAACACTGTGCCGATCATAAGTTCCCCAATGGAAAGGACGAGAACCAGCATGCGCTGTATTTTCCTCATTTTAAATTCCGCAAGAGAAGTAAAGTGATTACGGATTATCGGGTTATCTAATAGCTCATTCGGTTCGGCCTTAATTGACTCACCGATAGAATCCGAAACCTCTAGGGCGGCAAGCTGAAGTCTTCCACAAGGGAAAAATGCCGATAAGGTCGTACCACAATGATGTTTTGAACATAAGCTACACGGCTGTCCACCTCTACAGAGGAAATCATGGGACGGTATACTGGGGCAAACAAACGGTTTGGTAGCGAGTTACGCCACCCTCGATCATTACATAGAACGGACGTGGCTGGTAGACTAATCTACAGGGTGTCTTATTACTCTGGTCGGGAGCTAGCAGCGGCTGCATTCAGGTGCTGACGTACAACCGGTATGCAGAATTGCTAACTGTCCAAGGAGGCAAATTGCTTTGCCGGCACGGGGCGCAGAGGCGATGGATGTGTGTCTACGATCACAGACCACACTGAGCCGTTTGGCTGTGAGAACTGAACGTTTGCCAGACACCACAGCCGCAATGAACGTGTCATGCTTCGATCGATCGGTAGTCTGGCTTCACGCAGGTGAAAAGCCAGCAAGATTGGTTCCCCACGAAGTGGTTAGGGGTTCGCTGTGCTAGCAATTAAGAAACCAGCCTGACCGTATGTGATGACCGGACCATGGGCGCCGTATTGCTATTCCCACCAAAGCTGTTATCGTCCCATGACTGGCTTCCAACAAACCCGTAAGCTTTTGTTAGACTGCCTTCCCTGCTAAAGGAAATCATACTGCCGGGAGCACATTGTAAGGTCACGATGTTGTTCGTTTTACCGTTTCGATCGCGTGTGTGTTACCGTTGAAAATTCACCCTTCATGGATGCATAAAAACGAATTCTTGACTTTACTTGACGTGACAATGCTCTTAGGTTGCAGTCTGCCCCGACGCACTGGTGGCACGATTAGACAGCACATTTATTTAGTCATGAATGCAACTATTGCCTTTACAGTCAGAATATTGCTAGTTGTACAAACTGCTCAAGCCTTCGATGGTGTTTGACGTGTGTAATGTAGCATATACATGCATTCATTTCTTTACTTTTATTTACATGAAATGTGTGAAAGGTATGTAAATATTCACGAATTAGATGCTGCAATATCAAACAAACGGATAGTCTCGCACCGTCACAGATGAAGCAGCAGCTTGCGCGGTTGCGAAAGTGGTATGCAGTAACAGCCATCTCATCATTGCGCAACTCGCATAACATCGCGAAACCACACCGTATGCTGTGCATCGCATATTGAAGGAAGAAGATTTCCGGCGGTACAGTGCACTATAGCGGCAAGTGTTGAACCTATGCGATTCACAGAAGGGCCTGGAATTCGCCCATTTATTTTAGGCAGTCTGGACATGCAATCCATTTTGTTCATCGATGGGGCGGTGTTCCCTCTTCATGGTGAAGATACAAAGCAGGTTTGGGCAGTAAGCAACCCATAGCAATACTGCGTCTCATGTGTGCAGCATACCGCGAATTTCATGGCCTGGGCCGGATTGACTGCTCGAACAGTGGTTGGACCATTTTTCTTTTCCAGCACTAAGTACGGTAGGTTGTTGTTTAACAGTACCAATGACTGACCTTTCTTAGCATCCTCGTACGTAATAAAGTTGCGTCACCCCGCAGCTACAGTCGGAAGGGTTACATAATAACTTTTAGTGACAGCAGGATGTCAGCGCTTTCCACATTCAGCCGGGACTCAGCTACAATAATTCTCTAAAATGAAATAGTGACTTTACCAGATTCTAGCACGTATAAGTTCCTGAAAAGCTTCTGTGCATTGATATACATACAGGAGAAGACTTCAAATATCAGAAGCATTTAGGAAGCTGTGGGTATCAGGTGCTAGCTATTACCTAGCTTGGTGCTGTCGGCAACTGCAATATGGAACCTTGAACCGCTTCATATTAGCTGATAGAATACCTGAAAGATGAAGTAGCAGTTTCAGCGAGGACTAGGCTAGTAGCTGTTTGTTTGACAGTTGCTTGCAACCCGCAGTAGTCTATTTCGGAAGTAGGACCTACTTCTAAACCCGGTCGACTAGGGTCTGAGTAGAGCTTCTTACGCCCCTTGCGCTTTTTTCAAATGCCTTCTCCGCCATTAGTTTGGTATGGAACACAACTTCCTTTCTAATAGAGCCACGTCATATGTACTTTGATGAGGATGGTAGACTTTTTATTGATTTGGACTTCACCTTATAGATTGAAATCGCACGACTAAGTTAGCGCTGTTCCTTCTAGTCATAGTCTTGCGATTCACCTTCATCGGAAACCCGAATCTACAAGAGAAATTAACAAAGATCAATTTTTCTTCTTCAGCTGTAGTAGGAATCTGGGTTCTGTTTTTTTCTGCTGAAGCTCACGCGAAGTGCATTCGGGGAAGATGTAACTGTCACACAAATCATTCCGAAGGCTGCTTGTTGACAAAAACCGTCTCAACTTCATGTGTTGATATCAGTGTCACCCGTAATAGACCAATTTTAAATGGGGTACCATGAGTACCATGCTAGCCGGTTTAATATGGATTGGCGGCATCCGTATCCGGGTTTGACTGTCACTGTGGCTTCAATGGGAACAGCCACAGGACGCCTGCGTCTACAGAGGAACCACATGCGGCTTACGCTGCACCACCCACAGCTCCAACCATACACCCCATATCCGGTGTAAATCCGGAAGCAATAAGACCGGATGGCATGTGGATGAGAGCCATGTTTTATCAACTGAGTAGGCCCACACACCTTCAACAAGCAGAACAGAAGCATTCCGAACTAATTGGGAAATCATGCACACCAGAGGTACACGTGGCGGTGACTGGCCCGTAGTCCCTTCCACACGGGACGGAAACACTCTTTGAGCCAAGCACCGTCCCAAGGACGGTGCACCTAGTCTCCTCCAGCAACGACCAACTGTCTCCTGGAGCCAATATGGACGAGGTAGTGGGTAATAGTTAGGTAGGCAACTTGTCAACATTGACATCAGGTGCAGCTATACCGGGGAGCTCAAACATCGCTCTCTGAAACTCAATGTTACTCCTCACGCAGACAAACGCACCGCATACGCCGCCTATTTTGTCTGGATTAGTAAATCATATGTGAGCATATGCATGGTGCTTCTATTCCCCTTGCAATAGTGACTTCTCGTGCACCTGAGCAATGGCCGTTTCAATCAGTCCACGGAATTCACATCGATCAAATTTGCCTTGGATTCGCAACACCTGAAATCCACATAAGTTTATCATAAACTCACCTTCTTCATATTCTGGTAATGTTTTTTTTTTCGTTTATTTGTGTGCCGCTTTCATGCTCTAAGTTAGTCGTACAGAATCGGTATGAGTATCCTCGTCGAATTCATTGGATCTACATTTCTAAATGGATTGACGGCATGCGTGACTAACGGCCGTTCGAATACAACGTTTACTCATGTGTTTCTCCGGATTTAATTATGAACTGCCACAAACTAGATAGAGACATATTAGATCTCATGAACAATAGTACCACAAACGCGTATGGATTTCTTTTGGAGGTCAGGATAAGAGACACTTTCGTAGGCGTGACAATAAGTACCCAGTATCAACTGTTGGTGTTAGCCTCTTACGGCCTTGTCGACGCGACAACTACCACAGTACTATATCAATTAAGTCACGCTAGCCGCTGTCAAACATGCGGTTTTCCAAACCGGGTTCGCATTGTTTTGCAAAACATCCAAGTGTTAGCATGGTTGTCATCCAAGTACCTGTTCGTTTGTACATACCGCTGTGTATCCTGCTGTGACCATAAGCTATTTGGTTACGATCTACATCGTACGCATCGGGTGCAGCTATTCGTTGGTGCTAAAATGAAAAATTGTCGCTACGTGCCGATTCCTTTCCGACGTAACATACTAAGACACTGACGTACCATTACAGTCGGCATTACCTTCTTCTTAGCCTATCCAGAAGATTGAGCATGTCTAATGTAAATTCCGGTAGATTCCTCATAAACAGGTGCAATAATGTTACTGCGCTTTACCAAGTTAGTATTTAAACATTCTAGATATCAACTATACCCAAGAGCTATTTACATTAACGACGGAATAAGGATGACACGCGAAGAAAATGACCAAGCATAAGCAGGGAGCTGTGCTGGTTTGCAGCGAAATGGTGCGTTGGCGTCAACTGATTTTCATATGCACAACTAAGTTAAGGTTGTCGGATGAACAACGGGAATAAAGCTCTAGTTATCCTAACTGAGTTAATTTGAAACATAGCATGACACATTAACAGTAGCATATTAACCGCTAGTCAGTTATTTGCTGGGACTATTCATTTTCCACAGATGTTCTGGAACGGTTTACCTTTGAAGGTAAGATCCAACTTGGACTTGTCTATCATAT